TGCCATGTTAATAGCCAACGTTTGAAACGGACAGGGCATTTGAAGAAGAAGATAAACCGCGGAATTTGCACCGCCAACAGTGGCTTTTTTTGGGCTCAATCTCCTCCTTGAACCCACAATTATTATAACGAGAAATAACAAAAAAAAACTCTACAAAACAATAATACTCTAACAAATAATAATGAAAACATGTTAGAATGTTTAGAAAGAAAAGTACTAAGGAGAATCTATGGAGCATTAAATAACAATTGAGTGTAGAGAAAACGATACAACTTTGAACTTTATAGAATATACCAGGAACCTGATATCGTAAAACATAAATATTAAGATAGGACGTCTGAGGTGGATAGGGCATGTAATGCGGATGGAACAAAATGACCCAACTAGAAAAACGCTCCTTAATAGACCCATTGGTCAGAGAAGAAGACCCAGAACAAGGTTCCTTGATAACATCGATGAAGACATGAGAAATATGGCGTTGTAAGCCTGAGGGTTGTAAAGTCAGAATGATCAACGATCTATAACAGTCATGGAACTAGAAGAAGAAGAAGGCCCACCAAACTATTTACCACAATATATTTCAAAATTCCAGGTATAGGTTCAAAGCAATTTTACTTACATTGTTGGGCACGCTGCGGCACGAAATGATTGAATTCAACGCCTATTCTTGAGCGTCCCACTAACAGTAACAACTAAACAAGAAATCATAAACAGATACGGTATGAGTATGCGGTATATGCTATACTATAATACTAATACTGTACATACTGTTTACTGTGCAACTGTTCAACTGTACCTCCTACCTCTGAACTACCGACCGGTACCGATAGCGCGCCAGCCGTAGAGTTAACCTTTCAAGAGCGTCATGTTCGTTCTCGTTGCGCATTGCGCATACATTAATTTATCATGAACTATAATAGCACTAAAAAAGCACTGTGTCGACTGCCCAAAAACTTACATCAAACTGAATCAATCACTTTATTATTTCTTTGAATTGTTTGCAGCGAAAATTTTATTGATGAAATGTTATACAAACGTAAACAAAACCATGGTATTCCCGTCTAGAAGTATCAACAAGACGACAAGTATTGCATACTTATCAACATTCTAATCAATTTGATTACTTTATGACTCACAATTATGAGGATAATGTATGGTTTTGAACAATATAATCGTCTATCATTAAAAAAGAGATTAAGATATTAATATTGTGCTAAAATTGTTTGTAGCGTCTTAGATTTTTAAATATGTTAAATATTGACCCCTGCAAAGAATAACGTTGTAACCAGCATTTATGATATTCTTCAGAAATGATAAAAAAAATACCAATTTCTTTGATTTCTTTTTTTATATGTATGTGACATTTTTTCAGTGTAAGAAGTAGTTATATAAATGTTGAACTCCTCTTTTAGAATAAGGTCTATTATTTTTTTTTATTAGAGAATAGGTGACAGTTACAGTTTTTGATATAAATATAAAGTTTCATCGAATAATCTTGTAACTGCACTTACGATGTTCTCATCAGAAAAGTTAATATGAATTTCAAATTATTGCTCGTTGTAGGTTAAGGAATAATAACAGTAGATAGTTTTTAAAATGCAAATTTTATTACAAACTAAATATAAAGTCGAATTAAATTTAAAATGAACATATTTATTTAATGTCTAGTCTTCCATATCGCTGTCTTGATTAATGTTTTTGCAATCAACTGGGAGATCTTTAAAATAATCGTGGTAAGTGACAGGAATGCACTGGCTTCGACATAAACTCTGCAGATCATCATATTTTGCTTTTGTTATCCCTAGATAAGATGAATATGCTAGATGTAGATTCTTAGAAAGACCTTTACTAGAAGTTGCTAACCTTTTTTGTTTCCTGGAGATAGGTTTCTGTAGCAAGTTAAACTTAATTTTTTATCGGATATGAAATCATATTGAATATTCACCGCGCCAGGATTTGTTTCAGAAATATTTATGTGTTTCACCATGTTCCAGACCCATTTTTTCATTTTCTTAATTTATATACCAATTTGGAAATATTGTCATAAGTTTTTTAAAATCAAATATATTGTCTTTGTGCAGTTCAGTTACCAAATACGGTTTACCTGTTGTTTTTGCACATCTTAATAATCTTATCCATTGTTCGGGAATAAAAACTGTTTGGTTCTTTTTACGTCGCTCTATTAAGGCGTGCATGGAATCTCCCTCTTTTTGGGAATGACCTACCTCAAAATAATTGTGCGTTATGTTTTAAAAAATAACACCTGCATTGTGTACTATTCAACTGCAAATTAAACACCTTTTGGATACATTTGTCCACACAACCACTTTTAAGTTAGGACCGGGAAAACTAAACTAAACTAAACACCAGTACCGGGAAACAATCAAGATCTGTCTATTTCTCCCTACTATTCTCACAATAATGCCGCAAAATATTGACACACGACGTGTAGTATCTACCTGCATAATTATAGGAACTTAGCAGCCAATGCGGCGAATAAAATTGTAACAACAGTTACGGTGTAGTTTTTGAAATATGAGAATTATTTTGATACACTATGGTACGATACAGTATTTTTCGACGAAAATTTGATTTGGTTCAACGTCGTATCTGTAGTTACTCTGTTATTCTACAAATAATTCAATTTTTTTTATATTTACGGTATTATTCCATTCGGAATCTTTCTTATTAATGCAGTTACAGCCACACCGACCATGTTGGCAGATAGAGCGTAAAAAGTTATCCAAGAAGAACACTGTAACTCAAAATCGCCAAAAAATGTTAGTTACAACGTTATTCTATGCAGGGGTCGAAATAATATATACTACTACTATCGGTTTACAGCGTTCTCCGACGCCTTCCGTCTCCTAACTATTCTTCTCTATTTAACCATAGGCCTGGAGGGATTTCTCTTTCCTCTATTATAGTTCTTTTTCAATTCCCTCTCTCCAGCTTCTTTTCGGACTTCCTCTTTTTCTTCTCCCTTGTGGTGTCCACGTCCAAATCTGAGATATGTAATATATACAGTCTCCTGGATATGTATATACTACATACTGGATATATAATATATACAGTCTCCAATTTTCATGTTTTTGTCTTCTTCTTTTTATATAGACATGACTGTCTGTTTTTCAATGTGCCTCCACTAAGTTGTTCCATCGTTTTCTTGATCTTTCCACTTGGGAACCGTCTCTCTTGACGTCTTTACTACGTGTTCTCAACACTGGAGAGAAGGGATTTTGACAGGGCCGTAAAATTGAGAGTAAACTTGAAAAAAATATATATGAACCCTTCACTGCATCATGTTGTTTAAAAATAAACATTTATTTTAATAGCAGTTAAAGATGAATCAGTTTGTGCATGAAGTTTTTCACTAACAACGCAGTATTAATCAGCGTAAGTAGACTAAACAATGATAGATGGTGTTAGTTACCAGTATTGTGTCTTCTTAGTTAGGTAGTGTACACAATTAGACACTGACAAGTGTTTCAGATTGTTTTTGTTAGTTTTACCAAAGTAATTTGAGTAAATATATTTTACGTATTATTAATAAGGTAAGAAGTAAAATGCATGATTTCTTGCGATATACAGTACTGCGCATATTTTTCTCATAATGATGTTTTTTGTTATTGTTTACAAACAACATCATGCATATCTAGTAAATTTTATCTTTTAGATAAAACATCATGAGTTGGAAAGATAAAAGGCCGCTGACTGACAACCCAGACAGCACAAGACATCACTGGGACGTCCATTTTATACCATTTTAAGGTCCAAACGTCCCGGGGCTTCTTTTGGACGTACGAGAGACGTCCAAGGGATATTTCTAGTCAGACATACCAGGGACGTCCCATAAGGTCGTCAGAGGGACGTCCCATTAGGGATGTTTTCTAGATGTTAACAGTGTCATTTTTTTACTTAAGGCTGCTTTAGCAGTCAAAGCACACTGCGATTTGAAATGGGCGTAACACTTACTTTTCTACACAAGGTTATGACATTGTAAGATTTGTGAAAAGTCAAAGACTGTCATGGCTGGAACATGTGCAGAGACAAAACGATGCAAAAACAACAAAGAAAATGTTACAATGGAAGCCCATAGGAAGGCGAAAAAAAGGAAGGCCCAGAACGAGATGGTTGGATGACGTGGAAGACGACCTGAAAACAATGAACATAAGACAATGGAGGAGAAGGGCACAAGAGAGATCTGAATGGAAGGACATAGCCAGACAGGCAAAGACCCATCCAGGGTTATGATGCCAAAAGAAGAAGAAGAAGATCAGTCGTGGATGCTTGGCGTCTTTACAAATCCCGAGCTATTGCTTCTCATATCCCCAAAAATAAAATTAAAGATTTACTTGAATTTACTTGAAATAGCTGAATATCTGATAGGAGCACCAGCAAAAAAACGTGTTTTAATGGATGAAACTAACCTACCGAATAAGAATGTACATCGAGATCTAAATCCTAAAAGATACAGACCATGTCTTCAACCATCAGAAACAAGACGATACGACGGATACGAACATTTTCCGCTGTTTGGCCAAATTGATAGTCCCAGATCATGCAGGCTTGAAAACTGTGACAGCAGAACTAAAATAAGATGTGAAAAGTGCGATGTATATATGTTAGTCGCGAGTGAAATCATCTTTCAAAAACTATCATAAGAACTAGCATTTAAAATGTTTACTTAATGTGAAAATAATAAATAAATAAATAATAACGTTAATACCAGCTCTAATAGTGTTTTGTTGAAATTAACTATTGCTTCTTGCACCAACGCGCGATCGTACGTTCATGTTCTATTAGCTCAGAACGCACGAACGTGGCATAGCTGTATTTGTGGAGGAGATGACGTGATATTTTTTTGATGTTCTTTAGTCTTTAAATATAGCATATAACAAGAAAAAATTATAATTATCACAAAATAAAATCCTGGGCCTGAATTAAAAAATTCTGAGTGTAATATTTGAAAACAAAGTAGAAAATATGGTCTAACTTACAGTTTAAAGTCTGTGTTTTGTGGTCTAAAAGTAGACGAAAGGCTAGGCTTGATGCTGACCAATGGTTCTGGTAGACTGTCTGGATTGACTGGCACTTGCACACCTCTCTCCCATTCCTGCTTCCACTGGTCTATTATCACCCAATATTCATCAGAGGCTAATGGTTCTGAATCTGGTAGTTTCATAGCACTATAACGAAAATACACAATTATAATAAATTTATCAATTCATAAAGAAGAATTTTTATTCAACTATCACACAAGATTTTTACTTACACATAAACTTTGTTGCTTAATAATTAAGAAGCTACCCAGACTGACAAGAATATAATCTTTTATCCATGTACTAACCTTATCAGATCTTTACGGAACAGTTCTGCTGGTGCCTCTGTGGTGGTTCTGTTGTAAATACTTTTCAGCTCATTAGATCGCGGTGCCTGCCAGGCGGCACCAGCCGCTCCACCGGCACCAACGGCATTGCCGCCTGCTCCAACCGCGGCAGCTGCTGAGGTTGCTGCCAAGGCGGTCGCTTCTTCTTCCTCCGCCGCCGTGCGCTGAAAAAAAAAAGTTTTATTAGAAACGCCGTAACAGGTTCTAAATCGTTAGGTTAGTTGAACACACTGTATATTTTTAAAAGCTGCTTAAAAACTTGATCTATATATCATAGAGGGTCTATTATGAATAATAGGAGGTGAAATTTTGATATTATAAAGTGTGGAAACCACTTATGGAATAAAATTGTCCTTATTTTAGAAAATTATGAAAAACGCTGGGACACGCTAAATTCAAATATGCGCTTTTTAAGCATAAATTGAAATGTACAGGGTGATTCACGCAAGTCTAGCATAGTCCATCATCTGTATTTAAATGAAACAACCTGTATATTGTTTTTGTTAGAAGCTACTTAACAGCCTCATCTCAAAAAAGTGTATTATGTAGGGTCTGTTATGAATAATTCAAGGTAAAATTTTGAAACTATGTATAATACTCGTCAAGATATTAAATACATAAAATTTTTAAATTAACTTAAATTAAAAAGCGCATATTTATAAAAGTAGACTTGTCCCAGTATTTTTGATATAATTTTTTAAAACAAGGACAGAAATAATTTTATTCCATAAGTGATTTCCACCCTATACATGAGATGAAACAGGATGGTTTCATTTCTTGAATGCTTTTAAGAGGAAATTGCAAGAAAACTATGTCTATACTGATTTCTCAACAGCCTTTAAAGGGGACTCAAACCTGCCAGAAAATTATCGGTCAGTATCACTATTGCCAATTAATTCGAAAATTGTGGAATAGTGCATGGTACTACAAGTAGTAGATTTCTTTGAGGTCAATGGTATGTTTTCTGAATGTCAATTTGGTTTTCGCAAAAATAAGAGTCATTTCATAAGCTTCAATTTAGCTCAGACTTTTTGTGTGACTTAAGCAAGGCTTTTGACTTGGTCAACCATGAAGTGTTGTCCATAAATAATCTTCCAAAAATGGAACATAAGGCTAACACTCTTTGCAGATGACACTATGGTGGCTTTTGGAGTTGAAATCTTTCAAAATGCGTCTCACTGGAGACTATATGTACTATGTATCACTCCATATTCCACTCATATCTTTCATACTTTATCCTTGTCTGGGATCATGCAACTGACACTTACAGAGTGTTTGGTCTGCAGAGAAAGGCAGTGAGGGTCCTAGCTCGTTTTTTATTTAGGGAAGCCTGTTGTCAGGCTTATGAAAGATTGGGAATTCTTACTTACTGTACTAGCACAGTACATTCTAGAAAACCTTCGATTCATTGAGAGGAATACCAATTTTTATAGAACTCACAAAGATCAGCATGGATATGATACTAGGCACAAACAGAATATGATACCAGCATATTGGCATTTAAAAGGGTGTCAAAATAGACCAGGGTATTGCACAATAACATGTTTTAATGTTCTGCCTGAAAATATAAGTAACTTGTGTAGATAAAGGCAGTGAGGGTCCTTGCTGGTTTGGGATTTAGGAAAGCCTGTTGTCAGGCTTCCCTAAATTGGGAATTCTTACTGTACCAGCACAGTACATTCTAGAAAACCTTCGATTCATTAAGAGGAATACCAATTTTTACAGAACTCACAAAGATCAGCATGGTTATGATACTAGGCACAAACAGAATATGATACCAGCATATTGGAATTTGAAAAGGTGTCAAAATGGACCAGGGTATTACGCAATAACATGCTTTAATGTTCTGCCTAAAAATATAAGAAACTTGCCTGAAAAGGATTTTGAAAATAAAATTAACAGGAATATTTACCCCATAATTTTAATTGAGATTTTGTAAATATTTAAAGTCTGTAAGATTTTATATTTTTAAAATGAATGAACAGTATTGAGTATTGAACACCACTGAATTTGTGCTTAACAAATCTTTTTATGTTAAAAAGTTAAAAATTATGTGCAGTCATAAGAAAATCAAGTATCTAAATGTTTCGTCTACATGTACAAGCCCTAACAACTATATAATGGGACAAATTAGAATATATACCTAATTTAGGTGTTAGACCGTTAATTGATTATTTCTTTTATAGTTATGATAATATGCTAAATAAGCAATATTTTAAAAGATGTATATTCAAAATGTATATAATATTATTTTATACAACCCACATAACCTACTAATGGCATAAGAATAACCAAAATATGTAATAATTAGTGACAACTAAATAATGGGACAGTAGAAAATAATGCAGCAGGATACTCTAACAAACATAAAATTATATTTTAAAATTAATTTCTGGTCAAATTGAGTGAATCGCTGTGTTATTTCAATAAAATGGTGCCTGTCATCTCTAAAAATTCAAAAATTCCTGAGTTTGTGATTAAAAATTATTGCCACAATAAAACAATCCTTGAAGTGGCAGATGAAATTAACATTCCTAAAAGTTTGGAGTATAAATAATCATTATGGGGAAACATGAAGTATCTTAGACAAAAAAGGTAAAAACCCATGTCGTCCAAAACTAGTTTCTGACCAGAATAGGAAATATTAGTAAAAGATTGTAAAAAAGGTTGAAGAGATGCTCAAACGCAACATATAGCTGACTGTAATCATGAAACGGAATTAAATCTGCCAAGTGAATGCTGTCGCAAGTGGAAACATAAATCTGTATTAAAGTTTTATAAGATTGAATTACAGGTAACAACTTAAAAGCGTACTCACAGTTTAACATATTTTAACACAGTTTCTTCTAGGCAAAGGAAAAGCCACTGTTAACAGCAAAACAAAAATAAGCCAGGCTCATTTGAGCAAAATCTAAACTTTCTTGGTCAGTAAAAAATTAGTCTCGATTAATTTTTAGTGAAGAATCAAAATTAGATGTAGTTCGCACTAAGCATGAGGCTTTTCACAAAGACTGTTTGAAACACTCCATACAATTTCTTAAATGCATGAAAATTGGGGGTTGTATGGCAGTTTCAGGGTTAGTATGTTTTTAATTTATCGAGGCTCTTTTTATTTAATTTGAAATGCTCCGAAATGTCAACAAATACCTCAAAATAGCCTGTCATATGGCCAAAATTACAAACAACTGGTTTGAAAACCACAATATCAATGTCATTGCTTGGTCTTCTAACAGTCCTGATTTAAATGTCATTGAAACAGTGTGACATAAAATGAAACAGACACTAGCAAATTTCCCACAACAAACATTACAAGAACTTAAAGCCAAAATAGAGCAGATTTGCAATGAATTTATCTCTGAATAGTGCAGATCCTTAGTCAAGTAAATGTCCAACAAAATTCGAGTGGCCATAAATTCTAACTGTGAAGCTACTCTGTTTAAAAATAAATATTCATGTCCCAATATTTAGCTGTCAACAAAATAAACATTATTTATTATTAATTAGTTCTGTTACAGTAAGTATATTTTATTTTGTGTTGCTAATTAAACCTATATTAGTAATTAACTAATTACATAGTAATACAATAAGAAAATGTGATTAGAAAAAAATAAACTGTCAATTATCTGAACTTGGCATGTATTTAGTTAGGGCTAGATTTTATTTTAGTTTATCTCATTATATATTTGTTACGGCTATATTCTATCATTAGATAATCAGTAAGTATGTGCAGTTAATAAACTGTCCTAGAACACAGTCCTAGAAGCTTGAAACTAGCTACATATGTGCCTCTTAGCATCAGGAAGAACCTTATTTAATTTTTTCTTTTCCTTTTCATATCATTGTGCCCTTTTTTTCTTGAAAGGAAAGTAGTAAAGCTTTATAATTTAGTACATGGCTTCCTCTTGGTGTGAGGAACAACTCTATTGAATTTGGCATTGAACATGCCTTCTTCTTCTTTTTAGAAGGTAGGTATTAGAGAATATTAAAGGAAAGTATTAGAGTTTTGAAATTTAGTACATATTGATGTAAGCCATAATCTTATTGAACTTGGGACTAACAGATCTTCATCTTCTTTTTATAATCTTTTATCTTTTTTTTTTCTTGAAGGAATAGTCAAAGAATCTTGAAACATGGTACATTTATGTTCCTGTTGGTATCAGAAAGAACCCTATTTAATTTGTGTTCCACAGGTTTTATTTTTTCTTATCATATCATTAAGCCTTTTCTTTTCCTTGTAAGGAAAGTTCTAAAGCCTTGTAATTTGGTACATAGCTTTTTCATCTTGTATAAGGAACAACTCTATTGAATTTAGAATTGAACATGTCTCCTTCCTCTTTTTATATTTTTTACTTCTTGTGGCCAACAGATCTCCATTTTTTTTATAATCTTAATACCATTTTTTCTTGGTAGGAATAGATAAATAATCTTTGACATGTAGTGCATATGTTCCGCTTAGTGACAGGAACTACCCCATTTAATTTGTGTTGCAACAGTCTTCTTTTTATAGAAAGTAAAAACCTGAAGAAAGTCTTTGTACACAGGTTTTCTTGGTATAAGAACCCTGTTGAGTTTGGATCGATAGGTCTTCTTTTTCTTCTCAAATTTCTATGATTTGTCTTTTTCTTGAAGGAAAAGTCATAGAATTTTGGTCTACAATCTGTTTAGATTGTAGATTGTAGAAACAAATGTAGTTTAGATCAGCTCTGGACTTTTTTATTGTGTCTTAATTTATAGAAATTTACTAATTTCTTTATAGAGTCTCTTGTAAATGGCTTCTAGGTTCATACTGTATACACAGAGTTTACAAAGGTGTTTGACCAGGTAAATCACAAGATTTTAATCAATAAGTTCAGGAGTCTGGGTATCCAGGGTGAACTTTTAGAATGGTTGTTATCCTACCTAACTGAAAGAATACAAATAGTATGTGTTCAGGGTTTTCAATCGTTTGAGATTAAGGTACTTTCAGAAGTACCACAAGGATCACACCTAGGACCTCTTCTATTCAATAACTATGTTAATGACATTGCCTCCTGTTTCCTCCTTGCTTCTTTCCTAATATTTACTGACAATTTAAAATTATATTTGAAAATTGAGAATGATGGTGACTATCAAAAACTACAGTCTGATTTGGATCAGTTGAGCTATTGGTGTGACAGCAACAGAATGGAACTTAATGTTAAAAAGTGTCATTTAATGGTTTTCGGTTGGAATAAAACTCATATAAATCATATTTATACTATTAATTGTTGCCCTTTAGACTCTGTATCTCAGATAAAAGACCTGGGTACTTTGCTCGATTTCAGCTTATCCTACATCCCCATATCTCATCTGTTGTCTCAAAATCACTTCAACTTTTAGGGTTTATCAAATGTTGTTCTAAAGACTTTCTAAATATCCCATCCATAAAAATTTTGTGTTGTTCACTTGTGAGACCCACCTACATTACTGTTCATGTGTTTGGTCTCCTCACTATAACACAATATTCAAGGTATTGAGAGAGTTCAACACAAATTCTTAAGATTTGTTGCATTTAAACAAAACCAGAGGATTGAACAAATTAACTATTCAAATATGAAAAGGTCCCTCAACTTAACTTCTCTCAAATATTGGAAAAAATTAATCTCCATGTTACCAGTAGACAAACAAGGCTAAATCAACTCTTTTATGTTAGACCCCGTAGCACAAACTATGCAACTAATTCCTTCATATCTAAATCACCAATATTCCCAAAGGTTGGATTGTTATAGTATTCCAAAAGAATTTAAAGCTGAGCTTAAGGACTGTGTGTGATAACTTGATGAACTGTCTTTTGTTTTGTACATTCTTTGGGTTAAGTTTACCGAAAGTACAAGCTGAATATAGCTGCAAATGTCACAAATATTTTGGTTTGGCAGTGTTAGCATGTTTTTATAATGCATATGTTGAATGCTTCAAATATAAAGAGATAAAGCTTTTAAAAAGTACATTTTGATTATACTATTTTATGAATTCTGCAATTTTTATTATATATGAAGTAATAACAAGTAGATATTTGTCTCTTTTGAGATTAATTGCAAACATATTTTGTAATCAGACAACTTATCCCCTAATTTATCAAAGGGTAACTGCTAAAAAAAATTCTAATAATTAACTGCAATTAATCTCCAAAGAAACAAATACTTACTCATTGTTGTTTTATATAAATCAAAAATTGCAGAATTTGTAACACAATATAAACAAAATATACTTTTCTAAAGCTTTATATTTAATATTTATATTTATAAGAAAAATAGTTTTCTTACACCTATCTATAAATCTGGCAATCGCGAGTGTGTTAACAATTATAGAGGTATAACTATTCAATCAGCAATTCCGAAACTTCTTGATAAATTGGTATGGATAAATCTCACCTGGGCTTGCAGAAACATAATTATTGATGAACAACATGATTTCTCTAATGGGAAATCAACTGTAACAAACCTTCTCAATTACCAACAATACTTGTTGGGTGCATTTGAGTATAAAATCAGGTTTGAATCAGGTACACTGATTTCTCAAAGGCCTTTGACCAGGTTAATCATAATCTTTTGGTCCACAAACTTCATGCATCTGGCTTGGTGACCCCATTGTTAATTGGATTAAAAGTTTTCTGATGGGATGTACACAGCAAGTTCGTATTAACAATTATATTTCAAAAGAATTTCATTGTTATTCTGGTGTACCATAAGGGTCCCATTGTGGTCCCTTGTTTTTTAACTTGTTCATTAACGATATTGGTAAGGCTATCAAAAACTCACACTTCCTGCTATTTGCTGATGATCTTAAGATATTTCGTTGTATACATAATAAATCGGATAGAGATCTTCTGCAAGATGATGTAAACAACATATGTTTATGGTCAAAACAAAATGGTTTAAGCTTAAATCCAACTAAATGTTCTTGTATTTCATTTGGTCGTATAAATAATCTAATGGCTAATAGATATATTCTTAATGATGTACTCTTGGATTCAGTTACTGAGATTAGAGATTTGGGTGTATTATTGGATTGTGCATTGACATTTAGAAGCCATTTTCTTAAAATTAAGGAAACAGGATTTTGTAATCTTGGTTTTATTTATTGCAACAGTCATGATCTCTCACCTATTGTATTTAAATTATTGTATTGCTCTCTGGTACGCTCAGGTCTTGAATACTGCTTTGTTGTCTGGTCCCCGTTTCATCAAGTATACATTGATGGATTGGAGAGTGTTCAGAGGAAGTTTCTAAGATCTTTAGCTTTTAAAGCCCATATTAATATAAAAAATACTGAAAATTATTTCATAGATTATTCTATAATAATGTCTCATTTTAACATTGATACATTGAAGAACCGCAGGTTGAGAGCTGATATGTTATTTTTGTTTAAAATTCTGAACAATGTTATTAATTGTCCCTCGTTATTGGCCAATGTACACTTAAAAACAAAGCATAGAACTTGACACACTGCACTCTTTCATATTCCTTTTCATAGGACTGATTATGCTTGTCATTTTCCCCTGTCAAGAATGCTCAGCTCTTACAATGACCTCCTATTGGATCCTTTCTGCATAAACATTAATGCTTTTAAAAGGCAACTTAAGAATCTGACTATTAATCTGGATATGTGATACTTACTATGTGATACTGATACTTTTTTAAAATTTTTGTGATATGATATATTGTTTTAATGTACAAATTTTAACTGTTTACTTGTTTCTTTGTTATTGTTTTGATGTTTATTGTACATGATCATTACTTTTTACTATTTTTTGTATTTTATTGTAAATGGTTCTACCATTGGAATGAATAAATAAATAAAAAATTTATTTTTATATTTGAAGTATATAACACCTACTTTCTAAAAACATACCAACACTGCTATACCAAAATTTGTTGTTCCATGTTTGACATTTACGGCTATAATCAGCTTGTACTTTTGGTAAACTCAACCATTCTTTGTTATTTACTGTTCCTACTTTTATTTTTTGTTAATAGTTGCATACACATTAATACATATTATTATACCACACATTAATAGTTGCATAAAATATAGTGATACTTACTTTACGCCTTTTAACAGGAATTGTGCCATCTTCAATACGATTAGGCCTTTTAACTCTCTGGGACATTGCACTAACTTGGTGCAGATGGGCTTATTCCCTCTGCACAGCCTGAAATCAACAAAATATACACATTAATCACTAATATTCCAAAAAATAAGTAAGGTTTCATAATGCTACTATAAAAATTTATAGATTTTCCTTGAATTAGACTAGGTTCAATATGAGTGGGTGATTTAACCACACTTCCACTTGACCTAAAGGTCTGTTGTGGTCTAATTAGACTAGATATTAGTAACAATTATCTATGCTGGGTTTATCCACTTCCACTACTTTAACACAGAGCATGATAATGGAAAAAATCCTTCATCTAATCTAAACAGCAGAACAAAACCCATATATGTTATTTGTTAGATATTACATTTTTCAAGGTATATAGCAAAGTTTATTATTCTGTAGATGTTTTCATTATTCAAAAATTAATAAATAGTTTTTACCTTTCCCCTAACCCCCAGATATTTAGTGACTTCTATATTTTAGAACCAGTTTTTCCACTGTTTTTCCCATTATTTTTTTGGATGACTGCTTCTGTTATTGGCTTGAATGTTTAATTAACACTGTAGTTCAAAATAAAGAAAAAGAAAGAGAATGCTGAAAACTTGAAAATCAGAAAAAAATTCTAAACAAAATGCAACATATAGCAACAGGCTGTTTACAACTGCAATAAATTTATAAAAAATTGAATGAAGAACACATGAAAATGCTCACATATAAGTTAAAACTGAATATTTACTACAACTCTATGAAAGAAATCTGTCAACAATGCAATACATTAGTCACTGCTATATGGAACTACATACACACAAAGGTCAACAGAAAAATATCTGCATAAAGGACCCAAACATGATCTAGAAATGATATAAAAATACTCTTTGAATAACAAGCAAAATAATTAATTACATTCTAAAGAAGATCTTAATATGAGTTGATAATAGGATAAATGCAGTAAAAGTTCACATTCAAAAAACCTTTGGTACTTCACGTAGGTAGAAATCCTGATGTTAGTCAAACATATCTGGATAAAAATGACCTGAAATACCCTTAGATGAATATCAAGCAGAATTCAACTATCTGTATCCTGTTAAGGCATGGAACATTATAGTAACATACATTGTAGACTTATTTATACTGTCATCACATTTGCTATTTATGCAAGGATTAAAGCCTAAAAAAACCATGGAAACCATCTGGATGGTTAAACTTACAGCTTAACTAACTTTCAGGTGAGCAGTGAGAATTATTATTCTATTAAGAACCATTGGAAGTTATCATGGTATTGTGAGTGTAGTCAAAATATTATTGTCCTTTTATGCAGTTTATTTGCATTGGTCAAGTAAAAGGAATACAAAAATTAAATGTCCCTCTCCTATTTTGATATTCTGTAAAAACTACAAAACAAAAGTTCCACGAAGCATCATGCTGTAGACTAAATTGATTGGAAGAAACATTTCTTTTTAACAATTAGGTATAGTTTATCTCTATGTGTTAAAAATTACATACCACAGTTGAATAAAAAGGGAGTGTTTGAATGGAAAAGTTCTGTACATGTTAACATTTACTTATTATTCTCAACAGACATCAGTGCAATTGTACTTGAGGCTAATGTAAAATGTATCACTTTATGGTTTTAATCAGTAAAACAGAAGTAAACAGTATCACATTGAATGAAGTCTAAGCAATGTTTACATATTTATGAACATAAACAATCCCAATTTTCACAACTGAAGTAAAAATACAGTTGAGTATTAAAACAATTGGACTTACTACATAGCTATCCAATATCTCAATGTGAAGAATGGTCATAATTAGGTCTGTAACAAAAAAATACAGTCAATTTTGATTTCCTTCAACAGCAAATAGCTGTTATTGGAGATTTTGCTTATATCTACTGTTAAAGAAATACGGGAAACGTTGATGGGCATTTGCAGCAATTAAATGCAAAAAAATAAAATTTTCATTATAGCCCTTGGCTATCCTTCATAGGGAATATTTCGTCATTTTAAAAGTTGCTAATAAAGTCGATCAGCATGCAAAGAAAGTAGATTCCATGCTAACTCAACGTTAAAATGTAATATTCCAAGTAAAATCGTTGAAATTTCTAGTGACAAACAGCAGAGGTGTCTCCCATGTCTTGATTGTAAACATTTCACTTTAAGACCTTCACTTGCACGCACAACAATTTACACTTTCCTAATATATATTTTATAAAAAATTGATCCATCTGTTTACCATTTCAAAGGAATTTCTCATGCTTTCGATTGATTTTGCTTTTTCAGAGGATTTTCATTAAATCGACTCCATTAGACTCCATTTGTAAGCCTAACAACATTGACAATATAGACGGCGCCACATGTAGTCGTCGACACAGCAGTGAACTATCTCTTCGATGTTGCCATATTTCAATAGTGATATCTCGAAAACTGACATACCAAAACAAATACCAAAGCATGAGCTGTTCGATTAGTTGAAATTAATCAAAATTTTCAATGGAAATACCATAAAGCAGAATTTTTTTAAAAAGATCATCATTTGTAGTGGTCATTAACGTATTTGTAGAGATTTTCAGATATATATTTAATGTTTAAACATAATCTTATTGTATTTCATTCAGGTTCTTATTTACATAAACAAATACTCTACATTTAAACCAATTTTGTAATATTAAGTTAATTATTTCTTTAAAAGTCTAATTGATATTGTATCAATGAAATTCTGCCTTAGTTTCAAGATTTTAAAAATATAGTCACGTATCGCTAGTATTTTTTAAACATTCAGACAACCCTGTTTCTATCCTTCTTTCTTTATCATTTGGTAATTTTTGCGTTGTTTTAGAAATGTAATCGATAAAATTCATTTCAGATTTAAAACCCTTATACCTTAATCATAAGTATAAGTCTATAACGTAATAACTAATTAATATCGTCTTTAGTAAATGAAAGGTGCAAAATACAATATAGTACTATCTCTTTTTAAATTTTACCATGTCCCAATTTTCAGCTGTCTTTATTGGGTTAGCAGCATATGCAGGTGAAATTTTTATTGATATTTTTGTTTTTGTTAGTTGATGATATTTTTAAATAGTTCATAGTACTGTGAGCTTGATGTCTGAAAAATAAAATTGTGTATTTTCTGTAAAAGTATTTTGGCGCCATCACATAAATAACTGGTATTTGGCAATTTACAGGTCACGTGATCTCATGCAAAACATTTGTTTTGGTTAACAAAAAGAACAATAAAATGTCCAAAGCTACAGATTTCATTTTTTTTTCACTAATATGAAGGTGAATCCTTTTGTGGTAGAAGTCATTTCAATCATAAAATTCATTGAAAAATATAAAATCAATAACGAAAATACTTAACCAAACGTTACGCCCACTCACCGATTTAAAATATGAATTCTATTTAAAGCAGCCCTTACAATAAAATATATAGTAAAATAATTTTCATGTAGGCAAAACAAATTTTCAATTATTTATATATTTATTTTATATTATCCATTCTATTTTTTAAGTCAATAAAAGTTAGATGAGTTAATAAAAGTTAGGATTTAACAGAATGTATAGAAATAAAAATATAGTTAATATGGTTTTTAGATAATATAATAACATAAATTGCACGAAATTTCTAATAAAAAATAAAAAGAGAATAATTTTTACACACATTTAATACTTATCAATAAAGTTTAAAAAGTAATATTTTTGGCCTTTTATTTTAGGTTTATATAACTTAAGTGGATGTTGAACCGAGTGCATGTAGTCTAACGGATTATCATTTAAGAAATTTTTTTCATAGCGGAAGAAAAGGTTAGGTTAGGTATATTTGGAGTTAAATAAATACATGAATAAAATATAAATTGTATATTACAATCAATATATCAACAAAGCTTATAATTATTGAAAAATCAAAATATAGTTAAACATAGACTGTAAAATATTGAGAAATGGACGATGTATGTATTAAATGTATTTATTTTAAAACAATTATGTACATAATTACTTCTATTGTAGTTAAGATTAAAAATTGATCAGGCCTGTAAAGTTGCTGAAGATTTCACAAAACTTTATTATGACACTCTGGATAAAAGACGACATGTAAGTAAAGTATATTTTAAGATACCTGTTTATTCCATTAATGCAATTCCAGCTAATAGCAAGACTGTATTTGGAGACTGGATTATTGTCATGGAATGGTAATGGGGTGACTGGAAATGAAAATATTTTGAAATTTATGATTGATTTACCTCCGTCATCTTTTACTATACAAACTCTAGACGCACAGCCTGTTTTAGGTAAGTACCATGAGATAGAGATTTAATAAACTAACCCTAAAACACCATATTGGAATTATTGGACAAAAATACTTCAATACTTTTTTTTTCTGTAATATTTATTATAATAAAAGAAAATATTTACAGTTGGTGTGTCTGATTTTGTTCAGTTCAGTGTAACATTTGTTGTAATCTCCCAAAGTTTTTGTATAGTGATAGTTTTTATGTTAATTTTAGATACTGCAGTAAATGGTCAGTTGACTTTCATCATCCAAGTGACTGGAAATGTAAAATACCAAGACAAATCACCAAAAACCTTCCAGCAAAATTTCATAATTACAGCACAGGGTGATAAATGGAAAATTGTCAGTGATTGTATGAGGTTGCAAGAACCATTAAATGCTAAGAACTAACAACTGTATTTTTAATTAAGTATTTTGATAAATAAAGTCATTTTTAAACAATACCGATTCAGTTTATTCATTTTGTGTTTGTCTAAATTTACTGCACACTCTTCAATTTCTCAAACAAGAGAAACATACAATAAAATCTCATACTCATAAAAATGCAAACATACAATTTTTTGTCTACTGGACTACTTTAATGACTAGTTATAGTCAGCTAAAGCTCTTACACACTAGAATACAATTCTCATTTCTATGCCATGACTCATTGACTTGCTTGCTCATCATGATTGTGGGTATCGTCTGCAACTAATGTTTTTTTCTTTGTTCTGGTTAGTAGATGGCAAAATATGTACAGTGTTTCCCTTATTACATAAAATATGGTGGGTATCTCCAATCCTTTCACCTTCAGTTCGTTCCTATAGTGCCTACTGAAATATTAGGAGTACACATTAAGTAATTGTGGGGACAGCACACATCCCTATCTAACTCCTCTTCGAATTTATACTTAGTTTGTCTCACTATGTTTAACACATGTGATCACTGTTTGATTGTAATATAGATTTATGATTAAATTAATATCCTTCAGATCTAGGTGTGTGTGTTTCAATGCATGTATGAGTTTACCATGTTGAAATCTATTTTTGTAATAGTACTATCATTGCGCACAACCTTATAGATATAGAATAAAGAAGACCAAGGACGATCTGTGTCCCAAGTGTGGAGTGGTGGATGATGTACATCATGTGGCGTCACATTGTATGCAGGGCATAGTGTATGCCCTGCATACAATGTGGGGCGAACCTTGCTGCAGCTGGGCCAGGGGTCACCTCTAGGTGAGCCACATGAACTAATAAATAAAGCAATTGAAAACAAAAGAATCTTTGACTTGACCATTGGTTTTGTGACAGAAACCATAAAACACAAGGAAGAGAAAGAGAGGAGACGGCAACAAAGGTGAACTGTTTATTTTAATGTGTCGTATCTGTTGGCGTCAGTGGGGTGAGCCACTATTCAGCTTCTACTACTGATTCCGAAATCTTAAATGAATTTACACAATTTACATACATGTTGTTTTGTTTTGTCTCTACTTGTATCTAGTGTACAATGTGTGTGTCTCCTTTTGGAGCAGCTTATTACTAAGTAATGACCATATTTCTCGTTAAGTTCAAGATGGTTGGAATAGCGACGCGGTCGCTCCTTCCTGCCTATCGCTCTGCACAAGGATGGTTACCTTACAGACGGCGCAAACGTGAGTAGGGTGGCGCGACTGGTTGCTACGGCAATCACGGAGCTCAGAGGGAGAGTGACAGATGAAAGTTATGAGCAAAGCTGACGGGTCAGATGGTAATGCTCGCTAAGAGCGGTCCCAGGCCCGTCAGTTGAAGAAAGAGGGGGTGAGTTGGGACACCTTCCCAGAAGTCTAATGAAGATTCTCACCTCCCAAAAAAAAAAGATTGAACAGTATATAGAAGAAAGGGTCTCCCTGGCGCAGCCCGTTATTTGTTTTAAAAAGGTCAGCCTATTTCTGTGCACATATTTCTTTTATAAGTTGCTATTGTGGTATCGTGGCCACCTTTTTTATATAGTAGTTGGGAGATTACTTATTCCGGGTGATTTGTCTCTGGCTAATTTTTTAACTGCGTCTTTAACTTCAAGAATCGTTGGTGGTTCATCTTCCCTCTCGTCTGTTCCCCTTACCTCATCTCTTTCGTCTTCCAGGTTTTCTTTTTCTTCCCCTATATTACGTGCCTGGTTAAAGTATTCCACACATCTATTCAATACATCTTTCCTTGTTGTTAACACGTTCACTGCCATGTTGGTCCGATGGGACCATCACTGATGTTGCTTCAATAGGCCACGTTGGTCCAATGGGACCAACGCAAGTATTGCATTAACAGGCCATGTTGGCCCTATGGGACCAACATTTATTCCGATATGTACCGAGCCTTTGGTGTTTATTTAGTATTAAATCACCATGGGAATGGACCAACGAGGCCTACAAGCTATGTGCTGTATAGAGAATTTGTGCGATTTATGGAGTATAACAAATGTGGTCCCATATAAGTCAAAAACGTTATTTACAACTTTGGGATGATATTTATTGATACAAACATGTTTTTCAACAACAAAAAAATCAAATAATGTAAAACAACCAATAAAAAAAGTTATTTAAATTCTATGTAATTCATTAAAACAACCTATACACAGAAAAGGTTCCTTGTCACAGCTTTTGCAAAAGGTGTCTACCTTTTTAGTTTTGTTCATAGCATACTGACGGCCGTGTTGCTCACTATTTTTTTTGTAGCAGTTCTTGCAAATCTTCCTTCGTTGATGTTTACTTCCGTCTGCCTTCTGTTCAAGCTGATGGTGATTATTTGACACACTTCGTGGTACAGTAGTGGTTTCTTTATAAGTAACTAGATGTTTCACTATTTGTATTTTAAAATCTGTCACCGACATGTGTTATTTGTTACAAGCTTATATATTAAAAAAGAATTTATAACTGATGTAGTTAATAATAATTCAAACCCCACTTTTTTAAACCATTTTACGCTTTTCCTTAGGGGGTTGGAATACGCTCCCATTTGGTCAGATAAGTCTACTGCCGCTTTGCCTTTATTGTAATCTATTACCACCTTGGGTTTCAGTTTAGTTTGTCGATTACAAGATACTTCGACCATTTTATTGCCGTGTTTAGTAGAAAGCATGTAAATATTTCTTTTGTCTTTCCAGTTCGTAATGGTCACTCCATCATCACTTTCCATAGAAGCAATCTGCCCTTTATTTAATTTTTTAGCTACTACTTCTTGGGGTAAATATTTTCGATTTTTTCGAACAGTTCCTATCAGGTGTGTATCGACGGACAACATTTTTTTTGCTAGCGGTAAACTTGTATACCAATTGTCGGTTATCAGAGTTCTTCCTTGATGTACTAAATCCTCCATAAGATACAGAACAACGCTTTCTGGAGTGACGTTAGAACTATTTTCTTTCCCTGCATATACTTTGAAATTGTAAGTATATCCAGATCCAGAACATACTTTAAAAATTTTTACACCATATTTGTGTCTTTTTGTCTTAATGTACTGTTTAAACCCCAAGCGTCCCCTAAAGGGTAATAGGGTTTCATCGATGCAGACATATTCTTCCGGCACGTATAAAGACTTAAAATTTGCAGTCAGAATGTCGACAAGTGGCTTTAACTTATACAGTTTATCACTTGTATCTGCCAATAAATTATCATTAAAGTGAAACATCCTTAACAGCATCTCGAATCGATTTCTAGACATTACATTCTTTGCAAAATTATTGTAGAATAGGTTATCGTTACTCCAATAGTCTGCGATTTTTGGCATTTTCACTAAACCCATCCAGGCAACCAGTCCTAAAAATTTTCTAATTTCAATATTTGTCGTTGGAATCCAGTCATGTAAGCGAGAGCTTGGTGTTGCGTCTGCAGTCAGTACAGACTGAGTTGCATATATATTTGTTTGGTTACAAATCAGACTAATTACTCTGTCATCGACCACAGCATCAAAAAAGTCTCCAGGCGTACCATTTGCCAACATTGCAGCTACTTCATCATTTACTCCTGACGGAATAGAAAAAGGTGCTATTAGCTTATAATTACCTACTACTGGACCCCAATTTGGTTCTATATTCGGTACTGGATGTTCACTACGGTGTGGATCTAAGTTCGGTTCTGGATCGAGTATTGAATTTAAGTTCGGTCCTGGAACGATATTACCTTGAAGATTATGATTAGGTTGTTCTGGATCATGCATTGAATTCAAGTTCGGTCCTGGATTGATATTATCGTGAACATGACGAGTAGGTTGTGAATCTAATTTTATTTTTTTTCTCTGTAAAAACTTTCGTACATTTTCCACCGTTTCTTCTGAATCTGACGAATCTGATTCTTCTTCTGAACTACACAGGTACTCACTATCAGAAGCTTCGAATGGTTCATCATCGTCATCGGAGAGTTCTCCAAAATTGATTGCAATGTTTTGCAATTCACGCTCTGTCAGAGGTTTAGAACGTCGAGACATCTAAAATTACACAATATGTTGTAAAAATATTGTAATTTAAACATTATTTAATACTTACAGCAATTTATTCTTTCAATTTATTGAAATGAAAAACAATCAACAAGAACAATAGGCAATGCAAATTCGTTTATTTATGTTAGGTTATGTTTACTGCGACGGACCAACGGCGCACAGAAGCATTAGTACGGTTCACTGGGCCGCGTTGTCCCGATGGGACCAACACATTTGTTATATGGTGGCTCATAGGAGCACTTAAAAAAAGGAATGGCTGGCTCACGGAGGCATTGATTTACAAAATATAGTCGGCAGCGAACGTGTTAATAGGTCGCCATTCTGACTTCCGCATTGTCTTGTGGTTGCCTTGAATTCTTTTCTATTGATGTTAACTTTCTTATAGAATGCTCTGAATACTTTCTCTCTTTTGAGGTTTTCTATATATTTAAGTGGTTTCGTTTTGTTTCTTTTTCGTATGTATCCCCTTTTCTTTTCTTCGCTTTGTCTGGCACTTCTCTACAGTTGTTCTAGTTCGTCGAGTAAGCATCTTTCTGTAGGCTTCATTTTTTTCTTTTGTTGCATTCATCCTCAAACCAATGATTTTTACGGGTACAAATTTCTGTTACCATTTCATCTTTCTCTGCTACTTCAATGTCTTCCTTTATTCTATTTTGATTACTTAGCCTGTTGGTGCTGTTTTCCGAGTACCTTTCTGCAATTGTCGCATCTCTCGGCTTTTGTGAAATTCATTTTTTTTGTCCATTTTATTTTCTTTATTGGTATTTGAAATTCTAGCCCTCAATGTTGAGATCACTAGACAATGATCTGAGTCTATGTTTGCGCCTCTATAACTTCTGCAGTTTATTACGTTTGTTCCATGCCTCTTGTTCCAATTCCGCCTCTAAATCCAAACTGTGTGATATCTAATCGTTCTTCACATTGTTACATATAAGCCGTTGAATAAATTTGAGTAGTATTTTTAAAGTGTGGCTCACGAGGCTACGCAAGATTTAG